GGGAGGGGGAGATGTCGCCGTTTCCGTTGGCAGCAGGGCCGAGGTGGGGGTGTGGCGGGGGCAGGACGGGACACCTGTCTTCTGCCTCTTACTTGATCCATGTCTTTGTCGGTGGAGAAACAGGGCTCCACTCAAGGTGAACGCAAGGAACATTCCGCACAGGATCACAAAGATGCAGATGCAGTCCCAGTTGCACGGGGTCCTTTGGGCTGTGACAGGCAGGGGCCCCCCAGGGCTTTTGAGAAGGTCTAGACCTTGATGCCATCCTGTCCCCCCCTCCCCCCCCCTTCCCCCCCTCATCCTCAACCCCGCCACTGGGCCAAGTCATTCCTAATGGCCGGACTCTGCTTTCCCTCCTCTTACCTATACTCCTGGGGACTTCCCGGCTGGCTTCCCTCCTGCCCCTCCTGTAGGCAACCTCTCTGTGGTGAGGATTAGGGAGAAACTCACGTGGCCAGTTGGTAGAGAGAGACGTGACAGGCAGCTGCTTCAGGTCAGCTGGGTTCTTGTGGCTGACTCTACTGGCCTCTGGCATCTCTGGAGAAAGAGACAGAAAGTAGGCGCGGGGAGCCCCTGAGGACAAGCTGGCAGGTCTAGGAAGCCTGGGTGAGAGGGGAGGCAGGACAGGCTGACCCGGCAGTTCATCTGAGGTGAGTGCAGGTCGGGCGTCACTGCCACACCAGATGATGGGATGGCACGAGGGTTGCCTGGAACTTACTTCCGGCATGAGGAACGTGGGTGGGTTGTGGGTGTGGGGCTGGGGCCTGAGATGGGTGGGTGGGCGGCCGGGGCTTTGGGAGAGGGTCACACGCCGTGCACTCCTTGTCCCTGCACTGCCAGCCTCTGGGACAGGCACACTCGGCATTAGCGGTGACGGTGCAGTTGCGAACGAGACCTGGGAGAAGAGAAGGGCAGGGGAACACAGGACGCTCAGACCTTTAGGGACCTGCGAGGTTCCCTTGCTTAGTCCCCAGCCCCACCCCAGAACCTCCCCTTGCCCTGCCCACTGCCTCACCACCCGCCATGACGGCGTGCCACACACTTGCTGTCACCCAGTGCTTTGGCCATTATTATTATTTATTCAAGAAGAACATTGGACCTTTCAGAAAACGTATGGGTTCAGGGAACCAGCAGTTAGCGTAATGGCTATGTCGCTGGACTCCCACATAGTTGACCGCGGTTCGAGTCCCGGACCTGGTGGCTTAGAACTCACGCCAGGTGCGTGTGCGTGCGTGCCCAAGATCCCGAGAGGAGAATGGAGGAGAAGGGATTGCGGTGTGGCCATCCGCCCTGGGGGGTGATTTCTCGCTTTCTGTCTCTCTGTCTCTCTCTGTCTGGCGAGTGCACGTGCCCTATAGCGAAAACCTCTCCCAAAAAAAAAAAAAAAGAAAGAAAAGAAAACATATGGGTTCAGAAATAAAAACGATAAAAAGTAAAAAGCTTACATAATTTTCTCTCATATTCACTGATAAGAGAACCTTTAAAACAAATTCCAGAGGGTATACGTTTATAGGAGTATGTGTGCGAGAGAGAGAGAGACAGAAAGAGCGGGGGTGGAGGAGAGCTCGAGAAAGCACCCGCCGACAGGGCCTGATATGCTGCAGCCCCTTTTCCTTCCCATTCTCTTTCCTGTTGGGATCCTGCACGAGCGTGTTTCTAAGCTGATGGGGTTTGGGACTCAAACCCTAGTGGGCCATGTGCTATCCAGCTCCCTCTGTGCAGCACTTAACCACCGCATGGGCCCACCCTGCCTGTTTACTGAAGTGTAATATACTCACAGCGGGACACATATCACAGCGTTCCGCTCAAGAGCTGGTGCAGGTTGGACTCACAGGTGTAACCAGCACCAGATCCAGACGCCGAAGATAAGCAACGATATTCCTTCTTGTCCGTAACCTCCCGAGGGTAGCTACTGTCCTGATCTCTAACAGCAGAAATGATCTTTGCACTGTGCAGGTGGAATCATACAGCATGTACTCATTTCTGCCCGGCTTCTTTTACTCCCACCCATGTGAGTTTCAACCTTGTTGTTCACAGCGATTGCAAGCTGTTCGTTCTCATGGCTGTGTCGCATCCCAGTGTGACTATATGACAGTTTACGCATCTGTTCTGCTGGTAATGGACATTTGGGCAGTGTCTACCATGGGGGGGGGGCGCTTTCCTCTCTCCCTCTCTCTGTCGCTCTTGTCTCTCTCTTGCAAGCTTGTGTGTATGCACATACACAAACACACAAGAAAGGGAAAAAGAAAGGTACTGCTATGACCTTGATACATTTTAACTTTACGAAGAATGTGTTGATTACAGAAGCCTTGCCTTTAAAACGGAAACTTTACTCAAGTGGGGGTTCAATGTGTGGTGGCTGCAATGAGTTATCCTGGAGAGGTGGGCGTTGGGGGTACTGGGTCGGACTGGGCTCGCAGGGGCTGGGGGTTGCTGGGAGAGGGATTCAGGGAAAGGTAGCAGCTCTTTTTGTGCAGGCTTAGGTGGAGCCTGGGGGCCTACGGCAGCAGGCAGCACCCTCGGGAGCCCAGGGCCCACCATCCAAACCAACTGTTCTTTTTTTTTTTTTTTGGAGAGATTTTCACTGTAGGGCGCGTGTGCTCGCCAGACAGACAGAGACATAGAGACAGAAAGCGAGAAATCACCCCCCAGGGGGGATGGTCACGCCGCAATCCCTTCTCCTCCATTCTCCTCTCAGGATCTTGGGCACGCACGCACATGTGCCCGGCATGAATTTTAAGCCACCGGGTCCGGGACGTGAACCGCGGTCGACTACGTGGGAGTCCAGCGACATAGCCATTACGCTAACTGCTGGTTCCCCCTTGGGATAGGTTTCTGAGAATGGAAATGGGCTTCCTGAATACACAGACACTTGAGGGCGTGGGTATCACAACCGTGGGA